CTGCTAATAATTTCAGTACACTGACTATTGATTTCCTCGTGGGCGATACAGGTATATATACAGCTTTCTATTCCTTTAGTCTGGTATTTGTTTTCCTTATTTAATAGTTTAGCATTTGTTTAGCTCTCTCTTCATTTATTTGTAGATAAAGAAGCTTCAGTTAGTAGTACAGACAATATGCTATTCATAACACTGAAAGCAAAACAACACCCTGTTCTGCCTAGCGATAGAGATCCTGTAGGAATATTTCCCACGAGTGTCCTTATTCCTTCTGAGGTACTATACCCTGTTTTGAGGCGGTTCACAGGAGAGCTTGAACAACGTATGATCCTCTTCCACTTTTGTTTTAATTTCAAATTTTGATGAAACTTCGTCTGTATTGATATTATATTTTATTTTTACTCTGTTAAAGCAGTTGTTGGTCACACCTTGAGTGTTAAGGCAGAAAATGGTCGGCTACTTCTAAGTATCTGTGGATCTGGGCATAGAAAGCAACTGGTTAGTCAAATTACTATTAAAACTTTCTAAGCTTTCCTCTGGCTTACAAGGTTCTAAACTCATCTTAATTCCTGGAAATATCAGTATGGAGGAAATGGTATTCAGGTACAAGGACAACAGCCAGTTTCAGCAACTTATGACTTGTACAAGGTGTGGTACCTGACAAGCATGCTTAGAAGAGAGCCCGGCAGAGTTCTTGTGAACGTAGATGCAGTGTTCATGTGGAACACTAGAGAACATAAGTTATCCTTCCAGGTGAGGTCGGAAAGTGGAGAAGCATTGGGAACTTTGATCGTATATTAGGATTTGCACTGGTTTCTGAATTCAGTCAGGTACATTGATCCTTTTAAACATCTCATACTAGTTGCAAAAGGCCAAAACTATTAAACTTGAATTTGAAATTTGGTGGAAAAATAATTCATGTTGTGTGGTCCGTTTTTTTTTTTTGGTTAGTTCTGATGCATCTCTTTGATTTTTCTGTTTGAATTTAGCAAAGTAGACCACATTTTATTTTAATTTTGCTATTATTGTTCTTAAGAAATTAAGAGCCATGTAGTTGTATATATAAATTGGAAAAAAATACAAACATCACTTAGTTACTTCCCAAATTTCCCTTAATGCTTCTCATACCATATGAAAATTGAGCATATGAACTTCAATACAAGGCTTGTATTTGACTTAAAACCTATTAGCAATAGGTGGAGTAGCTTTCATTGTATTTTAATTCACATACTTTTTTGTTATATACTTGATGTGAGATTTTCTCACTCAGCATATCTTGTGCATTTCCATCCTGAGAAATATTTAGGAAACTGACATCCTCCTTTTCTTCCTTTTTCATCACTTCTATCTAACTAGGCAATTCCTCTTCCAGTCTGTACCTCTTTTTCATCCTTATCAGCTAAAGATCAGTCAGTCTCTATTCTCAATCTCCCAGAATTGGCTGGCCATAAATCTAATTCCCAAAATTTTATGATATGACTTTGCTTACAACATGTTACTCATAAGTTCTTGCTTTATCCAGCTCCAGTTTCTGAAAGAACAAGTTAGGTTGTTGTGATTGAATAACTGCCACACCACCCTTCTGCATATCCTTCTCCAATACCACCTGTTAGGTTCTTTTCATCAAAGGAACCATTTACCCTAAAAGGAAGCCATGCAGCAATCTCTTTCTCTTATTAACCTTCCTAGTGGGACAAGTTCTAATCTTTTTATCTTCAAGCATAATTCAAGCATAAACCACTCTGTTACAGCCTTCTACTAGCATCGTTGACATCAGGTATTTTCTTCTCAAAATAAGCTTCACACCTGACTTTCCATATTTTCCAACAAGCAAATGCAATCATAGCAGCAATAGTCATTCTATCACAACCTCAAGCGTTCATGTTCTTGGCAAAGCACAATAACCAGTCATCAAAAGTTTGATTCGGTCCCTATCAATTTTAAATCTCAGCAGGCACCTAAACAATACACCAATCACCCAATCACATAATAAATGGAAGTGGTCTTCAAAAAAGCCACAGAAAGGACATAAAGTAGTAGATGCTACCTTTCTCTTAAACAGGAGACCCCTCATTGTAGGCAAAATATTAGAAGTAGGTCTCCATAAAAAATGCTCTCAAGGGGTGTCTCAAGTGGTTGAGAACTTGAGACTCCAAGTTAGAAATCTCAAGTTTGAATCTTAAGACAAATAGGAAGGGATTAAGGGAAGGAAAGGGTATCCCTATTGCATAGCCCATCATATGATGTACCCAAAAAAAAAAAAAAAAGATCTCCATAAAAAATTTTGCACCTTCACTTTTACTTCAAAATCTATAATCTGCTTCACCTTGACTTCAAAATCTCTGCAAGTTCTTGCTTAATTATGCAGCTTAGGTTTATGAGAGTACGGATTAGGTTGTTGTGCTTGAAAAACTTCCACACTACCCTTCTGTATCTCTTTCTCCCCATGATTTCCTTCTCCAATTTCATGTATTTCATCCCCTTATTTTGAAAACTGAAGAAATCATAAAGTGCAGCTACAGCTACTCCTGGCCCCCCAAAAGCACCAAACTTCAACCCTTAAGAGTTTTGGGATAAAATCAGTACAGAAATCACACCGTAAGTTGAATTATCAAACTTGGCTATGGAACTGTTTCTTGGGATCAAATTTTCACCCTTCTCCATTTCTCCAGCCAATTTTTTTGCATACATTAACTAGGGTCCAAAACCAGAACTTGGGAATAGGATTTTAACGTGATAATGTATATAATATGTGTATATGTAATACGGTTAGTTACGTCATTATACTTCTACATATACGTGTATATATACAGTTGTTTACCCTAATGAGAAGGATGATTTCTGGCCTACATACTGCTTTATGGCATCAGAGCATTATCTAAGTGCCAAATCCTAAATTCCTAAGTTTCTAGTCTGCTGCGCTTCTTCCTATTGAGTCATGGAATCTATATGTAGAGATGAGCTAGCCAATTAGATGGGTGGTTTTGCTCGGAGAGTAAGATTTACCACTAGCCTTTCAGCTGAAATGTGGGCTATTAGGGACGGACTAAAGATTGCAATCGATAGAGGAATTTCTGTGCTTATACTAGAAACTGATTGCAAAGGTGCTACTTTGTTATTAAATTCTGCAATTAGTCATTTTCACTCACTTGGAACTTTAATCTCTGA